TAGTAAATTTAATTAATAAAATTATGTTATTTTGTTGGATTCAAATACAAACGTTTAGACATATATGTTAAATATTATATTTAAATATAAGTATTTGTTATTTTATTTACAATATCGTATTTTATTTAAATGTGAATATGATTGTAAGTAAGTTGTCTTCAAATATCTTTTGTATCCGATTAAATTCATTTGATGTTAATAATTTTACACATTTCTACGTATTTTATTTAGTCGGCGTAAACAAACCGATTATACCATTAGTCAAACCATTCCACTTACTAAATTGACACAACCATATAAACCAACATAAATCAACTAATCATGCATACATATAAGGGTGGAAATCGATACGGTATCAGTATCTCAATACCAAATACCTAAATCCCGAATACCGAATTACAATCCAAAAGTAATCCCAATCTCAATCTCTAAATAATTCTGGTATCTCAATCTCTAAATATTTTGCTATCCCAATCGGTACTTCGATATTCCAATCGGTATTATCGAATATGAAATTAGTTACCTTTGTAATTAATAATTAAATATATAAATGAGATTTTATTGTTTAATTTAGGGCAAAAAAAAAACTAAGCAAAAAGTCTTGAGTTTGCCTAAAGTTAGGATATGGATAAGGAGAATGGAGGAAAGGTGACATCTCAAGTTCTTGTCATTGGTAATCTTTAATTTGACGAATCTCAATCTCAATCTCTAAATATTTCGGTATCCCAATCGGTATTATCGAATATGAAATTAATGAACTTTGCAATTAATAATTAAATATATAAATTAGATTTTATTGTTTAATTTATGGCCAAAAAGACTAAGGGGGTCATTTGGATGTGTTAATTGTCAATGTGGTATTTTCTGTGTTATTTAAGTGGTGATTGAAATAAAGTATCTCGTTTGGTTGAACCATGCAAATGTGGTATTTGATAAAAGCAGAGTAGTGAAACGAGTTATTCGTTTGGCAGCGTTTTACTGAAATGAGTTATTTGGACAGTGAGTTATTTACAAATAACTCAAAACGAGTTATGTAAAATAACTCATACACATGTGTTATTTCGAAATAACACATGTGTATGAGTTATTTTACATAACTCGTTTTGAGTTATTTGTAAATAACTCACTGTCCAAATAACTCATTTCAGTAAAACGCTGTGAAACGAGTTATTTGTGTCCAAATAACTCATACAAATACTCATCCAAACGAACCATAAGCAAAAAGTCTTGAGTTAGCTAAAACTAGGATATGAATAAGGAGAATAGAGGAAATGTGACATCTCAAATTTTTGTTATTGATAATTTTTAATTTGACGAATTCGAGATTGAAAGACTACTAACACTAGTATTTGCTAGCGCATAGGTTTGTCCCACCTCTGTTTTGCAGACGACCTCTTGATCTTTACAAAAGGTTCAGTGGAAGGGGTAAAGGGTGTGGCTGAAGTTTTAAGACACTTCTATTGGATCTCGGGACTTAAGTGTAATCCGCAGAAGAGTGAGCTGTTTTGTGCCGGTGTAGATGAAGAACTGAAAGCAGAATTAATTGAACAGTCAGGCTTCCAAGAGGGCAGTTTGCCTGTCAGGTACCTGGGGGTTCCGCTGATTGCAGGGAAGTTGAAAGCTAGTGACTGTCAGGCCCTAGTTGACAGGATCTTGAAAAGAATAAATGGTTGGAAAGCTCGGACACTCTCTTATGCAGGGAAGTTACAACGAACTATCTCAGTATTAGCTAGTATCACCCAATACTGGATGATGATCTTTCAGTTGCCAAGAAAGGTTATTACTGCGATTGAGAAGCAGTGCCCAGCTTTCCTGTGGGGCTCTGAAACAAAGAAAGCAAAGGTAACATGGAAAGTAGTAGCTCTACCAAAGAAGGAGGGAGGGTAAGGTTTCAAGGATTTGCACAGCTGGAACAAAGCTTGCCTTGTGAGACACCTGTGGAATGTTCTGTCTGATCAGGAGAGCATGTGGATAGCGTGGCTAAAGGAGTATAGATTGAGGAATGTCAGCATCTGGGAGACGAGCACTCCAGGGGCTTGGCTATGGAACAAGGTTTTGAAACTGAGAAGTCAGGTTCAGGGACAACTAACAAAAACACGAGCAGGGGTAAGCTGGAAAGGGAAGTTGATGGAGAAATATAAAGTAAAAGTGATATGGGAACACTTCAGACCTACACAGGAGGTGAAGCCCCGGTATAAGCTGATTTGGAAACCTATTCTCATTCCTAAGAATTCTCTGATTTCGTGGCTTATTACACTAAATCGAATTTCTACTTTCGACAAGATACAAAAGTGGCAGCCAGAGATTGTGAATAGATGCCCTCTGTGTTTGGGGCACGAGGAGTCAAGAGACCATTTGGTTTTTGCATGCTCTTATGTGCAGGTGGTGATAGAAGCTGTCTTTCCGCCTTGCTGGGGTTACCTTCCTAGAGGAGGGTGGGAAGCTGGGTTGCAGGAGGCTGTGGGGAAGTTCCAAGGCTGTTGTGTGGGGAGAGTGCTGTGGAATGCGACGATTAGTGCGATCTGGAGGGAGCGGTGCAGCAGGGTATATGGGAAAAAGACAATTGAGGCAAAGACTTAATTGACAACCTGAGGCAGATAATGGAGGCGATGATGCTAGGCAATCTGAAATTTGAACTGGCAGTTGAAAAAAGAAAGCCTTGGTTCATGTGAATTAGTAAGATTTGTTAATTGTACATGGTGAGAACTGAAGTAGTATAGGTTTGCACGAATGTAATTAGCGTTTTTGGTTGGTAGGACCCTTGTACAGACAGTACTTTGATGAAATAAAACTGGCTTATTCATAAAAAAAATTACACAAGTAAATGTGCGAATAAACTCAATTAAGTTCCCTTCCCCCAATTCAATCGCCGTCTTCAAGCCCTCGCCGCTGCTGCGATTTGGCCTTCTCGATCGAATCCATTGATTCCTCGAACGATTTCCCGGAATTCCACCGCTTCCACATCCTCTCGCCGCCGCCGTCGATCATTTTCGCGCCGCCCAACAGGCACCCCGCGAACGCCACGTTCAGCAGGAACGCCCTTGTCGTCATGAACCGGATCGCGACCTCCAGCATCGACACTCCACTGCTGTTCCGCCGCCGCGCACCGCCGTCGTACGAAGAAGACGATGAACGGTTGTTGTAGCGGTAGTTGCTGCCGGCATATCCTCCTCCTCCGCCGCCGCGCGGTTGGGCGGTGGAGCGGTGGATGTTGTAATCGGCGCGCTTCCGATCGTCGATGAGGATTTGGTAAGCCTCAGAGATCTGCTTGAAGCGGAGAGCTGCGCTGTCCCTCACTTGGCCGGAGGATTGGGAATGTTTGTCCGGGTGGAATTGGACGGCTAGCCGCCGAAAGGCTTCCTTAATCTCCGATTTCGTCGCACTCCGATGAACGCCCAGCACCTTGTAGTGATCCATCGGAGCTCCGATTGTGGAAATTTTGCAGCTTCCTTTCCTTCCCTTTTCTTGATAGATCGATGATATTTTCAACCAAGGTTTTCAACCCGCGGATTGACCCACGGGTCGACCCAATTTAACTCTGACCTGGTGAGAAAAACGGGCCGCACGCACCCGTCGGGCCGACCGCTATTAGGTACCGGGTTGGAGGTCAAATTGTGTCATTTTTTTCTTTAGTTTGCGAAATGTGCCTATTTTCCAATTTTTCTTTTCGCCTAACTCAATCTTTGGAATACTAAGTTGAATATTTGAATATTTATGTTATATAAGTGTGTGGATTTTCACTATATGTTGGATCTAAGTACGATATGTTATTTTGGTGTAATATTATATGTTAGAACTCATATGTTAGATAAGATTTGATATAATTTATGAGGATAAGTGCAATGTAATGACTCTTTCTATATTTCCGGGCCAAACCGGACTAAAACGGTTGACCCATTAACCCTTGACCCACTAGCTCGACCGGGTCCGGGTCAACCCGCGGGTTGACAACCTTGTTTTCAACTTTTCGGCTTTCTTCTTTTTCTTTTTTTGGTGAAAATTTCCGGCTTTCTTCTTGATAAACAACGACGCAGGCTTCATCTGTGCGACGTCGTTCCATGCATCGGTGATTGTTCGTGTACCCACTGTCATGTTTTATTTTCATCCACCTGTGCCGGTCATGAAATCGGCATGACACCACCGGTATGACCGGTATGATCGACTTGTGCATTCTAAGCAAAATGACATCACTTTAATGAATTTAATCAATAAAAAAGTAATATATTATTCATTTTATGAATTTAATAGTTAAAAGTTGATGATATTTGTTGGATTCTAACTAAATTGTCCATAAATATGTTTTATATATAATTAAATACATTGAATATTAATTTTTTTTACATTTTTTAAATTGGTATGAACCGGCACAAACTGGTTCTACCACCGATCGTACCATTTCACTTGTCAAACCGACACAACGGTATAAACCGGTTTGACAACATTGTGATTGATGATAGGAGCTTTTCTTTGGAGTTCTCTTTCCTGCTTTAAGCGAGTTGGGCCTGACGCGAGGCCCTAACCAATGTTCTTAGAAGGACTAGTCCATAATGGGCCTTCAAGAATCAGTCTTAGTTCTTAAACCCAAATTCCCGCCGTATTGCCGTAACCTTCACCGGGTTCTTCGATCATTCTCCGTCGGAGTAGCACCAATCTTTCTTTCTAGGGAATCCGCCGGCGAGGGAGGAAATTTGGGATCCTCTAAACACCCTATTCTCCGGTAAAGCGCGGTGAAGAAGGCGTTCCGAGTTCTCTTTCCTCCCGCGTGATTCCGAGTTTCCTGCCATGGCGGATTTCCAGACCTGAGACCTCGACTCACCGTGCCAAGTGGATCTTCACTCCCCAACAGCTAGTGAGTAGTAACCTTTCGCCTTCCTTTAAGACCTTTCCTTCTTATGAGATGATAGTTCTTCAGGCATGGGTTACTGTTTTTTTTTTTTTTAAATATTCCTGGCCTTGGTTTCTTACTATCCATGAATTTTGAGTTAAAATTCGTCTTTCCGATGCAGAATTTGGAATTCGACCTTACTGTTTATGCACCTTATCGTCCAGTTGAAGGTTTTATACACGATATAGAGGTAAGGTTTGGTGCACTTCTCTTGGCAACTCCCCATCTGCAAACACTATTTTTTTCTTCTTATTCGCATTCCTGTAGAAGTTTGCATTGGTACATTGGACAATTATCCTCAATTTCAATTAAATTTCCTTCTCTCTGCTGGTAATGTTACCGTGTCTTCTATAGGATTCCTCCCATGCGGCAGAGGACCAAATTCAGATGTTCAAGGTAATCACTCACTTTTAGTGCCAGCTTATTATTACTACAACAGCCACTGGAATGCTCATTCCTTTAATCAGGTCCATATGTGATTTTGTAGGACGGTGCAACAACCGAGGTTCGAATTAAGTCTCATTTCCTTCTGATATATATTTTCCAATGGAGATCTTTTCATTGATGCTGATACAATCAGGAAAATTGGCCAAGAATACTACTACCCTATCGACTTCGTGCTTGTTTGAAGTTACCTTGGTTCAATCAGTAAAATGTTGGGGCACATGGTTCACACGACGAGTAACTTTCTATTGACCCCTTCCCTCTCAAATCATATCTTAAGTTTATTAATTGCTTGTCTTACTACCATCTGCTTCTGGCTTGCTGATGTTTTTCATACCTCTCGCAACAGTAAAAAACGGGAGAAGAAATCGAAGCACAAGTCTCGGAGGAGTTCACACGATTCCAGAAATGCTCCAGCTCCTGCTTACTGCTTAGTTATGGTCGTCTGAAGTTGAACTTTTTTTTTTTTTGGTGGAGTCTGAAGTTGTACTTAAAAATGCGAAGAGGAGTGGTTTCTGTTTTTAATAGCTTCCGACAAGATTTTATACATGTTACTGTGAATTTTTTCAAATATTCATGGAATATATATAATATATGGGAGGCGTTCCTGATTATAAAAAGTAAAAACAGAGAGCCATAAATTGACTCCTACTAGGATTTATGAGAGGAAAAGCAAAAAGTGGTCAATTCTCCGTAAAAAAAGGCCAACTCCATGGTTATGGTGTCCAGGCCTAAGCCCAACGGATGTTAGAATAGAGCTGTTGTGGGCCTTCGCAGCCCAGACAAATAGGGGGTCTCATTTTCCTTTCCACGCCTGCGAATAAAATTTACAGAGGCAGCGTAGAGCTTCACAGCCTTCACTGATCCTTTCCCTCCACTCGACGGAGAAAGCTGCTCCGAGGCTCCTCCTCATTCATCAATGGCGGCCGTCGTTTGTGTCAGCTTCTTCAGTCTGCTCCCCGTCTCAGAATCATCTTCTCAGGTAAATAACGGCCACCGTGTAGCTTTTCTTTCACCTTATTATATATTCCCTAATTCCGCCTTGCTCTCGATCCGATTCACATCGATTGCCTTGATTGTTTCGTGCTCCCAAATGGCGGCAGACTGTGTGTGGTTTGGATTATTTCGCTACTTCGCTCCGGCGGATTTAATTTCGTTGGCTGTATAGTTGGAGAGCCATTGAGCTAACTGGAATTATGCTAGTTCTTAGTTCGTTCTAAGCCAATAGGGTTCTTTTGCGATAGCACGGGAATGCATACACTTGTACTGAGTTATCTGTTTAGAACTAAGCTATATTTCATGGGCTGTGAGGTGAACTTGAAGGAAAGACAAGTTAGGTTTGCTTATAGACCAGGTAGGCTACTCTTATCTTGGTTGCATTTTGAACATATGGGGAAAGACTAAGAAAAGCTAGCTCCTGGTACTTTTAGTGGTGTTAAAGATTGTGGCACCATATTTTGATTGCAGATGAACCTTGGGTTTATTTTTGTTGGGAAATCAATCAATGATCTTTAACACCATGCCTTGTGACTCTTCCAGAAATTACGATTACTGAAAGCTGACGCGGTTGGGATTTCAGGCAGATGGATGAGCAGAGCTGGTAAGTTTTTCGCTTTTCTGTGATATTCCTGCTTTAGGGTTTAGGGGTCGTGGTTTTGACTACTCATATTTGGAAATGTTGGAAAACATATCGATCCTCAAATTCAAATATGATCATAACCTGAAAGTGAATGAGAGGTAAATTAGTTGAAAATTTGCTAGGATAGGTAGCAGAGCAGAGTTCCACATTTCATACTCTTAAGAGCATGCCATTGCAGCATGCCTTCTTCTGTCCCAACTTCAACCAGGTTGTTTTTGGTGTTCACCCTTTGTTAGAGCCATAATCGAGTGGAAATTCTTTTTGTGCTGTGGGCAATTTTTTTTATCTCTCATGCTCAACTCATCGGCAATATTGACAGATAAACTTCGTGTAAAGTACTACTGCTCCGACCATCTAGCTGTTGTATTGGCATTAAGTGGTTGCATACAACTTGAAAATACTGTCTGTTTTCTAGGTAGAGATGATGCACTGGGCTTGTCACATTGTATAGTGGAGAGAATGTCTGACTACACTTTCCTCTGTGGTTGCCATTTAACATCTCTGTGTGCCTTGAAGAACTGATCTTCTAATTGCCATTATTATGATTATAGTGTAAACACAGTTGAGCCCATATTCTTGGCGCTGAATGTACAAGAAAAAACAAGCTTCCTCTTGATTGGAGACATGATTGTATGTATAACTTCTCATTGCATGCAGCAACCGATGGCCTCCTCAGCCAGGGCAGCAACACCAGGAAAAGCATATCTCTCAAAGGTCCTGGATGTGCTAGTGCAACTATTCCATTAATAGGCCATTTGAGCAGGCTTTTCCCTTGTAATGTTTTTTATGTTATGAATGTAGTAAGTTGTTATAGTCACAGAACAATAACTGGTTATTGGATTGGTCCGGATATTGATGATGATGGATGGGGATTCGTTGAAGCTTCGATTCATCCAGTTACTTGACTCTATAGCTAGTCTTGAACTGTTGATCTTTCTTTGATCTTGCGTATGACTTATCTTCGCTTTCGCTTTACGGTAACCTGAATTTGATTTGAGTGATGAAGTATACAAGGGAAACAAACATCAAGACTGTAACAGACGGTGAAAGTAATTAACAGAACATAAACAGTAGTAGTAAATGATTTTCAGATGGCTCTAAGAGGCTTCTCCAACAAGGCAGACAGATAGACTTCACCCTCAGACGTTGTGTTCCCTCATTCTAGCAGCAAACGAACAGGTTCCTATGCCGAAATCGAGACCAATACGGAGCTCGTCATGCTTGATTGCCAGCACGTACCTGATTAGGAAATCGATCGGGAGTGATGAGCTGACAAACCCACTTTAGCTTCTCCTTCTCCAACTCGAAACAACATGTGACGAGAAAAAGGGTGCACTGAACAGGTTGAGCCTTTAAAGTATTGTAACCAGAGACCAAAATGACTCACGCCACACCAACCAGCTTACAAACTGAAATCATACCAACATCTCTACCCTACCTGTGCATTTCGAGTAAACCCTTTACAGGATTCTTGCTGGACAAGCAACCAAAGTTCATGCACTGATATATAATTGCTCTTCCTCACATTTCCATCCTCAAGCATTCTCCATAGGGACTCATTTATTCGACGCTCTCGTCAAGCAACGCCTTCTGGGCAGAGGATCACATCCACCAACCATCAACTTCGGAGCGAGGTGACAATCATTTCTACAATACGATCCAATGTCGCGAATCCATGTACTCTCCCAATTCCTTCTTCATCAAGGCACAAAAATGGCCTATCCTGTGAACGCTCGTGGTTCTCGTAGATGTTCACCTTCCCCATCCCGTTCCCCTTAGCAGTAACCAGCAGACGCCATGGATTCTAGAAGCTTCAGTTCGAGATAAATTAAAGATGAGTCATTTAGCTTAAGGTGGTAGCTAGTCTTGTAGATTTTGGGGTTTTGATTTGAGGTTACAGAATTATGCGTTAGGATGTTTAGGAGTAATTGTAAGCTGCTGCTAACCCCTGTGGGAAAAAGGGGCCATTGATTTGGCTGCAGCTGCGATTGACATACTTTTTGGACAGAAGATTAGAAAGTATAGAAGAAATATGCATCAACATTGCTCGTTTTCTTTCTTCAGGGTAACTTGTTATTGAAGGGACGATTAGGGCAAGCCAGTAGTTTGTCAGCTAACCCTTGTTGTTTTGACCTTATTATGGATTATTAGACAGACGAAAATTATATTAGTTTGAGGCTAGGTTTCTTGTACCCGTTTTCTAATAAAGAAATTAAAAACATCTACAACGAGTACTAATGGAAATGTGTGGTTTCAATCGCTTATTGGCATCATCAAACACCAACAAGATCGAACCAAATGTTAGAGAAAAGCTAGGGTCGGATGAAGATTCATGTTCACACCGGACAAGACCAAGTAAAACTGAATCAAATAAAATTCAACTCATAAATTCAATCACACAAACTCTCTTAAAATAATGAAAACAACCAGGCATGTAACAATTGAATTGAATCATATCGAACTTAAAGCGTTTCGTAATCAGACTTTTGATATGATTGTAGACTAGAGCAGACCATTGTCCACACACAGTTAAAACGGGAAAGATAATTCAAATCGTACTCTAATCAATAACCACTGAGAATTGGCAAAAAGTCGGAGGGAGAGGACAATGTAATAAAGTGTGTGATTATAGTGCTAACATAAACATGAGTATTTAGATTAATCTATAATGGTAGAGATTTATCACTTGTGTTTTAGATAACCAATCTCCAAGTATTATTTAACGGATTATATCTTTCATTTTAATTCAGATTTCAAATAAATTTTTGCTCACAAAATTCAAATTAATTCCTCTATTACATACCGGTACACTTTCATACCAACACGGTATAAATTTATGTACTACCAAATTTTATCATCATGGTATAAAATTTTACGTACTACCAAACTTTACCACCATGGTATAAATGGTATAATAAGTCTAAATTAAAGCTATATTCTCCCCAAAATATACAGAAACGTCATTTTTGAGGAACATCATTAATATTATTTTTCTATGACAATATTGTTTCCGAATTAAAACAAGCTTAAGTGATATAATCAGTCAAATATTAATAATGGGAACAGGCTTTCTAAGTTTTTTTTCTTTATTTGGAATATTAAGCTGTAATTAATCAGCACATATAATTAATTAGTGAAGAGCTCACAACACAAGGTCTGGAAATTTGACAACCTTATTAAACAACGAGCTAGAAAAGAAATCAACCAAACCACCGATTTCTTCAATGCTGTTGCTCATCGATATCACCCACACCACCTTCAACCCTTCCATTCTAACGGTCTTACCCACAAACCCTTACTCCTCTTATAAATACCCACGTAAACACCAACTCCCCTCTTCATCTCCTTCCATACACACACACACACACAAAATGGCGGATCCAAAGCAAGGTGCAACGGTGGCGAAAGGTCACGAAGAAGCGATGAAGATGGCGGTATCCCTCTTGAAAGAGTTCGGGCTGCCGGAAGGGATGCTGCCGCTGGAGGAAATGGTGGAGGCCGGCTACGTGAAGGAAACGGGATACTTCTGGATCGTGCAGAAGAAGGGGACGAAGCACCTTTTCAAGATGATCAGCAAGCAGGTGAGCTACGACGCCGAGATCAGCGGGTACATAGAGAAGAACAAGGCCAAGAAGATGAAAGGTGTGAAAGCCAAGGAGCTGATGCTGTGGCCTCCGGTCAACGAGATCGTCGTCGACGATCCGCCCACCGGGAAAGTTCACTTCAAGAGCCTTGGTGGCATCACCAAGACTTTCCCTGTCCAGGCTTTTGCCGCCGGCCAGTAGTAAGCTAAGCTAGTCTTTCTCTCGGTGGCATCGCCGAGATATATATATATATGTATTAATTAAGGTTCGATACTACTATGTTTACGGGTGGTGAGAGATCTCGATTTAAATTTAATGCTGTCTTTTCACTTTTTTTTGGACAACGAGATCGTCACACTATGTTAGTTGGTGGCAACCTTTATCAAAATACTGTTAATGATTTGTGTTAGCATGGTGTTAACGCTTAAAATGTTAGCACCTTATCCAGTCTTATCTAATTAAAGAGCGTGGGAAGATAGCTTAGATCGGATCTTTAATGGCCGGCGAGTCATGGGTGAATATGAATTATGAAAATTCGGGTCGATTAACGATCTCCAGTATGCTCCCCAGTTAACATATTCGGCGAGTTTCCACTTCTTTCTTTGTATCAACTCTATGGTGTCCTTCAATCCTTGCTGATCACTTCTCTCTGGAGGTGGCAAATGGATTGTATCCGCAAGTAGGTGGATTGGATCGGTAGATCCATGTATCAAATGGATTGGATCGTATGGATTGGTGGATTCATAGATTGGATCATATGGATTGGTGGATTGATCCATGAATCCAAATGACATCCAAGCATTGGACCAATATGTAAATTTTGAAAAGTTTAGGTACTAAAATGTCATAATAAAAAAATTTAGGCACCAAAATATAATTTTCTAAGGATATTTTTCATATAAAAATGAATTTTTAGGGTGAAATATAAAAAATATAGGTACGAAATTATAATTTGCCATTTGGATCCATGGATCAGTCCATAAATCCACAAATCCAATTAGATTTTGATCAAATAGATTTAATTAGTTGAATATTTATGTGGATGGATCGAATTGGTGGACCATTAATTCTCTCTCAAGTTTTTTTTTCAATCTTATTATATTGTGGTTTACTTTTTTTTTGTTTAAACATTTTTTTCTCTTTTTAACTGCGTATTTTTGAAGCTACTACATTTAAGATGAACCCTCTACTATTTTGGCAAATGAAAATCACTAAACATTCATAAAATTAGAAAATTTATGAAGAGTTGGATGATCCTTTTCTCGTACCTATATATGGATTGACAAAAACACTAATATGTTGATAAACGAGTTAGTTCCATCAAATTTGAGTATTCATGTTATGAAAGATGCTCATTACGAATGTTCAAACTATGTATGGT